TATTAGTCATAAAATTTTCATTGATTTTGTATTTTTTTTTTCTAACACTACTGTTGTATTTTTTGCAAAAATTATTGTATAATCCCAATTCAACTTTTATATGAAGTTAGTTCATACTAAAAATGAATGTTGTTCATATACTATTTATTTGAGTAAAATTATGAATACTTAGATTTAATGAAATTTAAATTGTATAAATTAAATTTATAATGAGTGTGTCTCGTAGCATAACAAATTTGAATATACATTTATATAATGAAATTCTAAATATATTTGAGTAATATAATAGTATTTGTGTTACAATGTATATAATGAATGCATACACAGTGGGAACATAAGTGGTCTTCTAATTTTATATAATTCTCAAGGATAGCATTGTAAATGTTGGTAGACGGTGAAGGCATTAATATTAACAGAGACAATTTGTCCAGTGATTGAATTGAAACAAAAGTTGTCTGATGTGGCTTTACAACATGACAGAAATGGGTGATGCAACTACTATGGCACATCGAGGTCTTTCTTGCTCCCCGGGAAAAGTGATGAGGCAACAATGGGTTATTGCAATGGTGGCGATGGAAAAATAGTAAAAGTAACATTATATTTTGAGTATAGACCGAGTTTAAATCGAGACTTGGCAGAAGCGATCCGATTGGTAGGAGCAAGGGCAATTTAGGTAGAGATGGCAATGATAGGTGGTAGGATGAAGGCTGCGGTGGTGATGCAGTGGCAAGAAGGCAGTGGTGGAAACGAAGATATTGGGTCACTAAGGAGGGCATTGAATACATTGTTGGAGAGTCGGGCTTCGGGCTGTTTGGGTCATCTAATGACGATTAATAGCCATAATGGATTGGGCCTTGAGATCCCAACAAATAAGCGGGCTGGGATATGTGGATCATTGGAGCACGCCGAGGATTTAGAAAAACTTTTATTAAAGACTGTTTGATTATAAATTATTGTAAGAAACTCATCATCATGGACTCTTTGTCCATGTGATTAATTGTAAATTACATAATTTAGTGATGCACACATACAATTCAACTTAAAATTTTAAGTTTGGTTTGGATTTATGAATTTAAATGAAAATATTTAGATACTAATCATTTAAGGACAATTGTTTACGTTTAGATATGTATTTTAAGATTAAATTTGAAATATTCATAATGACGATCATTGTGATTGATTTCAAATAATAATATAAAATTAATTATTGAGTAGTATATAATTACATAAATATTACAATAAAATATTTTTATTTTCTTTAGTCTATCTTCTCATTTAATCTATCAACAATAACTCTTCCATACTTTTATAACAAACTTTTAGTGTGAATTTTTTTTATTTAAAAGTTATATCTAAACGGTTCATTAATTTATTTCACTTTATTTTATTTTACTTTTCTTTCTTAAAATAAACTCATAATCCAAACATGACATAATAACTTGATGTACTTATAGCCACATATTAGGGTGTGATGAGGGGACGGTCAAGGGTTCGAACTGAAGGAACAGTGGCGATCCCTTTAGTTATAATATAACTTTACTAACAAATTAACTTCCTACAATCTTGGCAAAAAAAAAAAGAAAAAAAAGAAATAATATCTATATATGAATGTTTCGGGTTCAGCTTTGTTGGGCCGCAGTGGGCATGACTTTGAGCTCAACTCGATGATTCAAACCGTTCAATATGTAGAATTCATTGAGTATATCATCCTCGCAAAAAATCACACTAATTGGACATGATAACCACTTTATTAGGTTCCATCTGTGTCTGTAATGTATTTTTAAAATAATAACTGCCGTTGAAACAAATATAATCTGATCAAATAGCTATCAATATCCAATCAACATGATTTTTTGCAAGAATGATGTACTCAACGAGCTTTACACATTGAACAGTTTGGATTATCGAGATGAGCCTGAAATTGGGTCCACTACGGCCTAATAACTAAGGGTGAGCATGGTTCGGATTGGTTTGGTTTAGCTGTAAACCAAGATCAATGCATTACTTACGGTTCCATCAAATTTGACACCAAATCAATCCATGAAAATCTTGAAACCAATCCGAACCAAACCACTAAACCATGGTTCAATTCAATATGGAATCACAAATTTCAAAAATCTTATCATTATTCACAATATGATCACAAAATATTATTTACAACTTAAGAATTGTTTACATGATTATTTAAAACTAGTTCTATCAGTATATAAAAATATATTTATAATAGTAAAGAGTTATAATATATATATTTGATATAAATAAAATATTTTAACATTTACATTTGGTAACAAATTATATACATAATCTAAACGGTCTGGTTCAGTTCTAATTGAATTTGTAGCTTTAAAACCATGAATTGAACAGTGAAATACGATTCACTTATTTAAAAAATCAGAACTGAATCTTACATTAAAAATACCAAACCAAATCATGCCATGTAGAAAGTAGAAAACACGGCAGGCTCCTCACACTTTTATAAACGATAGATATATCTCAGTGTGTAAAATGATTAATCATCTGTAATATGATGTCAAAACATAAAAAAACTTACTTTTCAACAACTGAAAAAGTAAGACAAGCAACAAATCCAAGCTTTAGATGTTTCTCGAGTGTATCATTGTTGTGCAGGTTTTTCCTTTTGTGAATTGTGATTATATAAAATAATGTAGGAAATGAAGTATAATTTCATATATAGAATCACAATTTAAATGACAAATCTATAATATAGAATAATATATAATTGGTATTGGGTATAGAATAATGCACGAAAAATAACAAAGAAAAAAAAGGAGACAATTTAGCATTAAAACAAATCGTAATACCTTTGAAAGATTAAGAATAAAAACGTGAAACGCAAAATTGGTATTGGGTTTGTGAACTATCTCAATTTATTATGAAAATTATATGTAAAAGAAATATTTTTCAAATAGAGTCTATATAAAATAAGTAAAGTTAGTATAATTTAAATTAGGTTTAGATTTGTGTAAAACTCTATATGCAATTAAAAAAATACATGCTGACGTGACTCTCTCAAAAAAAGAAATCCCTCATAATGTGCCACTTGAGCATGGGAAAAAACACTACTTTTAATAATATATATACATATAATATGATGTTATACAAATTAATATATACATATATATTTACAAAAAAAATTAATATAAAATGATGTGATTGTTATGTACTCTTATCGCTTTAAAAAAAAAAATCCCACTAAATTCACTGTTAATTAAGAAAATATTATATAGAACCTACTAAATTTTATATAAATTTGTTGTAAGAATATATTTTTCCTATTATTATCACTAGCAAATCAACGTTTCTATTTTATTTATTTTAGATTAGATAGTGGGCATCCTTCTTTTAACAAACCACATTAATTGGGTATCTCTCTCCAATTATTTCTGTTTCTACTTATAAATTGTTTTCTCTTCCCTTTAATTGCCCATTAATTGAAATATTTCTCTATCACGCCCGTATATGTCCTCTATTCTAATTACCAATCTATTTAACTCTCTCTCTTTTTTTTTTTCTCTCTCCGAAAGTAGTTACAGAGACAAAACAAAAATGCTTCCAAGCCAGTACTCTTACGACAACAACAACAGGTTTAAGAGCATTTTAAATAGAAATGGTACTACGTTGCTTCAACAACTCAAGTCTGCGTCGATGTCGATATCGATATCGATGAAGACGGTGGCAAGAGACAGTGGTGGAAGATAGAGGTGTAAATCTGGCCCGGCTCGGCCCATGTCAGGCTTCGCTGGCTCCTGCCAAAATTCGGGTCGGGTCGGGCCACGGGCCAAAAATTTAGGCCCAGACCCAGGCCCTAGCCTAGGCCTGGCCTCGGGCGGGTCTGACCATTTTTTTTAAAAAAAATTTTTCTACCAAAATTTTATTATCTTTCACTAAAAAAGACATTGGGCCTCACGCTGAGCCTTGAGTGGGCTTTAAGCGGGTCGATAGGCCAGGTGGGCCGGGCTTCAAAATGATGGCCTAGGGGCTCAGGCCCAGGCCCAAACAGGCTGGGCCTATCTTGGGCCGTGGGCCATTTTTACACTTCTAGTAGAGGTGAGTGGAGAAATTCAAAATCAAAGAAGACATAGAAACAGAAATCAACAGAAGCAGCAATGAAACATGTCTTAGCAGAGCCGAAGCGAAGGCAGTGAATCAACGGCCACCTTAAAAGACTTCAAGAGTTAATCCTCCCTAACATTGCCTCCAAAGTAACTACTCTCTCTCTCTCTCTCTCTTCATTCACCATCATCACTTTAGTCCGGAATGAAATTAAGCGAAGACTAAAGAGGCCATGACCCCATATTTGTGTCATACAAAAAAATGTCTGTCAGTATATATATATTTTTTGAAATTAACAATTTTATTAATTTTTTGGAATTGTTTGATTAATAAACTTATAAGGTAAAAAAAATTGACTCAAAATTGAGAAAAGACAAAAGTAAGTTCAAAAAAATTTGACTTTTTAGTATGGTTATAATTTATAGCTAAACATTCGTGGGAAAATTACATATTTGGGTTTTTTTTTTATAAATAAAAATAATTATAGATTAGAGAAAAAAAATTATCAATATTAATCATAAAATTTTCTATGATTTTGTAATTTTTTTTCTAACACTGCATTTGTATTTTTTGCAAAAATTATTGTATAATCCCAATTCAACTCTTATATGATGTTAGTTCATACTTAAAATGAATGCTGTTTATATATTATTTATTTGAGTAAAATTATGAGTACTTAAATTTAATGAAATTTAAATTGTATAAATTAAATTTCTACTGAGTGTGTCTTGTACCATAGTAAATTTGAATATACATTTATACAATGAAATTCTAAATATATTCGAGTAATAAAATAGTATTTATGTGTTACAATGCATATAACGAATGCATACACAGTGAGAACATATATAAATGGTCTCCTAATTTTATATGATTCTCAAGGGTGGCGTTGTAAATGTTGGCAAACAGTGAAGGCATTAATATTAATGGAGACAGTTCGTCAAGTGACTGAACTAAAACAGAAGGTATCTGATGTGGCTTTACGAGATGATGGAAATGGGTGGTGCAACTACGATGGCACATCAGGGTCTTTCATGTTCCTTGGGGAGAGTGATGAGGCAACAATGGGTTATTGCAATGGTGGCGATGGCAAAATAGTAAAAGTCAAAGTATGTTACGAGTATAGACCGAGTTTAAATCGAGACATGGCAGAAGCGATCCAATTGGTAGGAGCAAGGGCAATTAAGGTAGAGATGGCGACGATAAACGGTTGGATAAAGGTTGAGGTGGTGGTTCAGTGGCGGGAAGACGGTGGTGGAAAGGAAGATGTTGGGTCACTAAGGAGGGCATTGAATACATTGGTGGAGAGTCGGGCTTCGGGCTATTTGGGTCATCTAATGGTGATTAATAGCCATAATGGATTGGGCCTTGAGATCCCAACAAATAATCGGGCTAGGATATGTGGATCATTGGAGCTCATCGAGGATTTAGAAATTTTTTTATTAAAGACTGTTTGATTATTATAATGCTATAAATTAATTGTAAGAAACTCAAAATCATCACAGACACTTTGTCCGTGTGATTAAATGTAGATTACATAATTTAATGATGCACACATATTTAAATAAAAATATTTAGATATTAATCATTTAAGGACAATTGTTTAAATTTAGATATGTATTTTATGATTGAATTTGAAATATTCATAACGAAGATCATTATGATTGATTTCAAATAATAATATACAATTAATTATTGAAATCATTCACACTTAAGTAGTATAATTATATAATTTTTTCAATAAAATATTTTTATTTGCTTTAGTCTATCTTCTAATTTAATCTATCAACAATAACTCATCCATACTTTTATAACAAAATTTTAGTGTGATTTTTTTTATTTAAAACTTATATCTAAACGGGTCCTTAATTTATTTCACTTTACTTTTCTTTCTTAAAATAAACTCATAATCCAAACATAACATAATAACTTGATGTACTTGTAGCCACATCTTAGGGTGTGGTGAGGGGAAGGTCAAGGGTTCGAGCTGAAGGTGCAGTGGCAATCCCTTTAGTTATAATATAAATTTACTAACTAATACAATCTTGGCAAAAAAAAAAAAAAGGAAGAAAAAGAAAGAAGTAATATCTATACCTGAATGTTTTGGGTCCAACTTTGTTGGATCGCGATGGGCATGACTCTGAGCTCAATTCAATGATTCAAACCATTCAATATGTAGAGTTCATCCAGTATATTATCCCCGAAAAGAATCACGCTAATTGGGCGTCGATAGCCACTTGATTAGGTTGCATTTGTGTGTGTAATTTATTTTTAAAATCATAATTGCCATTGAAACAAATATAATCTAATCAAATAGCTATCAATATATGATTAATGTGATTTTTTGCAAGAATAATGATGTACTCAACGAGCTTTACACATTGAACAGTTTGGATCATCGAGATGGGCCCAAAATTGGGTCCACTATGTTCCAACAATTAAGGGGGGGCATGGTTTGGTTTAGCCGTAAACCAAGATCAATGCAGTACCTACGTTTCCATCAAATTTGAAACCAAATTAATCCATTAAAATCTTGAAACCAATCCAAACCAAACCACTAAACCATGGTTCAGTTCAATTTGGAATCGTAAATTTCAAAAATATTATCATTATTCACAATATGATCACAAAATATTATTTACAACTTAAGAATTGTTTATATGATTATTTAAAACTAGTTCTATTAGTATATAAAAATATACATATAATAATAAAGAGTTATAATATATATATTTGTTACTAATAAAATATTTTAATATTTACATTCAGTAACAAATTATATATAGAATTTAAACGGTCCGATTCAGTTCTAATTGGATTTGTAGCTTTAAAACCATGGACCAAACCGTGAAATACGGTTCACCTATTTAAAAGATCAGAACTGAATCGTGTATTAAAAAACCATACCAAATCAAGTTGTGTAGAATGTAGAAAACTATAGCTCAACTTTTCGTGCTCCTTTCGGATACGACTAGCCCTACAGTTCGGGCTCTTGTGATTTTGAATCTAATCTCACAAGTGCAATATGAAATAGATAAACACCAAAGAGTCCAAATTCAGTAAATCTTTTTGGAAAATCGATTTTGAATCAAAATGTCAAAAATGGACCGCTTTGCCAGATACAGAGTCGCCACCTAAATATTTTGAGAAATTTAGAAAACCCATGACTCGTGCCAAAGGCTATGTGTCCGTCATCACCAAGATTATCTCGGCTCGGGAACTTAGGTATGAGAAGGGAAGGTCATGAATTGAGCATTCCACTCGCCCGATCAAAGATCAGCCTCTACTAATCATAATGTGAATCTTATTTACATTATATGCTCTTGTTCCAATTATTAGGTTAGCATTACTATGTGTTGCACACAAATATAGACTAATTTGCAAAAAATGAAACACTTTGATTCATGTTTGTTTGAAAATTGTTTAAAATATGTACCACTTGAAAAAATGATCTCATATGTACATTACTCAAATTATTCCAATTTAAGCAACTTAGCCTTTATCCATAAGCATTCAAGAGTTATATCACTTAAGCAATTAGCCTCATGACAAGCATGCTAGACATGGCAACAATTATACTCATGCAATGCTAAAGCACAAAAATGCTCACCTAGTACTCCAAGGCAAGCCAAGAAAAACAAAAGAGTTAGAAAACATGCATGCTCCTAACTAATACAACGTGACTAATGCAACACATGCGGCATGTAACTAATAGGCTCGGCTACTAATTATGTTATGTGAGTCAATTTGATAGCATGTGGTTTAAGCATCTTTTCAAAGAAGTATTTTAAACAACAATACATTGTTAGAATGATAAACTGAGCCTCGATGCATGCAAGACAAGTGGATGCAAACATGGAGTATGCTAAAAGAAACATGATATTCTAAACTACCCATCATAAGCAAGTAAATAAAAAGGAGAAAGATGTGGGGTTAGAAGACATACACATTATTACAAGTTTGGCTCTCGCACAAGAGGGTCTGAATGAATGAACTAGCTAATTACTTACCTAATTAACTAACTATTACAAACCAAATGAAATAAATTAACTACACTAGCTAATTAATTAATTATTACAATAACAAAATTTAACTAACTATTCTAGCTAATTATTACGAATTGGAATTAACTAATTAACTACACTAATTAATTAATTACAAATTAACAACACGAATACAACCAAAGAAATAACTAAGCCAGTGATTAACTACTCTAACTAATCAACCCTGGGAAGTGAGGAATGCTTATGCATGCATGCGGATTTCCACTCGAAAAGCCCATTGTTTTGCTGCCAGAATACCTCTGTTGCACAGTTGAAAAATTGCATTGTTTTTCCACCTTAGCCTTTGCTCTGCTCTGCTGGAAAAAGGACACTTCCTACCTTGAAAAAGTGGCTGGTAACCCAAAAGTAGTGGCTGGCAGGCCACTAATAGTGGGTTGTTGTCCAGTAAAAGTGGCCTGCCAGCCATTGATGTTGGTTCTCTCTTGCAGCAACAGAGGACAAACAGAGCACAAATCAGAGTATTCTCAGGAGATGTTTGTCCACCCTGCCTCTCCTTATCAGCAAATAGGTCAAAGGAGGGGTAGGTTTGGTTCGCAAGTCATCAATTGACGCAATTTCATTACGTGACGACTTATGTACGAAGGGACACAATTTCAATAAATGGATAACAAAAGACCAACAAAACCTCAGGTATGAACCAAACTTGAAAGCTTGTAATTGAACTTTCCTTTTCCAGATATTAATTCCTCCCAATATTGATCATTCAAATGTACTTGCAGGCATCGACTGAGTACACGAAGGGCCTGCTCCAGCTGGTTGCTTCTCTGATTAGCATGGTACAGAAGAAAAAGACATTGCTTGATCTCCATGGTATCTAGGTATCTACTCTATTTTCCACATACATTTCAATGCTGCCTCATATTGCACTGATTCACTACACTGACATACTGTACTCATACTGTATCTTTTTGTACTCATTTTGTGTTCATACACTGTATCTGATATGTCGACACTTGTTTTCCAAATCCCATCTGTACCAAGGACACCAGCAGCAGCGGCACCAGCGACACCTCCTCCAGTGTCTAGGAGGAAAGGTAGATAGGCCCTAGCACGTGGCCGAGATGATCGCCGAGGTCGAGTAGAGGCAGGGCGCTCTGAGCCAAAGTAACGAGTTCAAGCTCGTGTTGAGCGGGGATGATACCGAGACCCCCAACTTTAAGGAGGCAGTGAGCCGACATTTTGAGTTGTTTGAGAGCGGGGGTGATGATGCTGGCTCGGTGTTAGGAAACGGAGATGACGCCAAGGTTGGCTTTGAGGCAGGGAGCGGAGATGATGCCAAGGCCAGCTCTGACTCAAAGTCTGATTCTGATAGTGGTGTTGACAGAGACAATGGCCCTGAGTCCCCTCTGAGGAAAATGACGAAGAGGGCCTCTGGAGTTTGAGATGACTGGCACCTATTTTTGTACTTTTTTCTTAGTTTCTTTTATTTTAGTAGTTTAGCACATGTATAGCTTCAGATAGGCTTTTACTTTTGCTTTTGAAAACTTGTACTCTCTTTTGTAAAAACTATGATCGGGGGAAAAGCCTGCATTTTTATGAAAAGAGTTATTGTTTTTGTATCACGAGCACCACATCTGCAGAATGAAAAATGAAATTGAATTTGGAACCAAAAATAAAACTTGTATTGTCATGATGTTCTTAATCGGGTAATGAGTCAACCAATGACCAAAATACAAAATACAACTCGATAAATAAAGTAAAAACAACTCAAACACAGATATGCACACTTGCTAAAACCAAAAGACTCAAAACAAGACCTCAAAACATAAACACCACGACAAAAACAGATTGCCAAAACTGCCAGATCCACAAGTGGACGGTAGGCCAGAAAAAGTGGACAGCCGGCCACTAAAAGTGGGTTGTCGGCCACTTGTGAGGGATCCACTAGATAGCTGACAACTGGCCTCCACGCACAGCCTTATCTTCTACAAAAGGTCTTTCTTCGTGATTTCTTCAGCAGAACCTCATTTTTGCTGCTGTTTCTTCCACAAATGGAGATATTTCTTGCCGAGAAGCTCACGGATTGGATAGCCACTTTAGACGGCATGGAAAAGGTAAATTTTCAAGATTTCGGCATAAACGCTCTTTTTTCGTTAAGCAATACACCACTTTGCTTTTCGTTCCTTCATGCCGCGGCTAGATGCTGGGACCCAATTACGCATGTATTTCGCTTCGGAACATAAGAAATGTCCCGAATCTTGAAGAATTTTGAGCATTGATGGAAACCTGACGCGATGAGGAAATCATGCCTTATCCCCATTTTGGTCACGCCCAGGCTTTGGGATAGATGGGTGGACTCACTTTGCACGAAGCTTGATCTTTGGTCCATAATGGAGAGCTAGATGTACCCAGATTGATTCATCAGTTTTCTAACATCGGTGACAGAGGCAACC